AATGTAATGAAAGTCACCAAACCACTAAACCATAAGCTCCAGGAAGGCAGCACATCTTGTTTATTTTGCATCCCCTGCTCCCTGCACATCTCAGCTATTTCCTTAAATAGTCACTGAGTCAACATCCCATGTGATCTCCACCTCGGACATAGGAATGCTAATTAACTTCCCCATCCAGGATTAAAATAATAGGCACGTCATCCAGGGTGCTCAGAGACTGGCAATCCACCTCCAATGACAAGTCCGAGCATCTACAGTACACAGAAGACAACACAGGACTGAGGGCTTTCTTCTGCTTGGAAAACACTGTCATGATCAACTGAACACTTTTCTCATGTTCCCGAAGAATGATGGCAACAACATCCATGTTTAGAAAATACTGGGAAGATTCATTCAGGTTTTAAATTTACAGCAAATGGACTTAAAGCCAGGTACTAGCTCTCAAGTGAAAAAGACATGTCTTTTCCCCAACATGGTGTGAAGAGGCAGAAAGGTCAATAAGCAATTGGGAGACTAGTGGGTTTGGCCAATGTTGCCACCAAAAAATTCAAGATGTCAGACAACTTAAGCTGAACCAAACTCTCAAAGGAAAGTGCATTTCACTAGATCAGTCCATAGATAAATGGAGTCAGTTAACTAATGGACATGCCTTGCACAGCTGCACCTGAGCAAGTGCTGAGCTGGGTTAAGTATGTCATTTGGTTCAAGGAAGCTCTGTATGTCTCCCTTTGAAGATGAGGAGACTGAGGCTCACAGAACATGAGTGACTTGCTGCAGGCACAAGCTAGCAGTATTTCTACCTAAGAAAGCAAATTCTGAACTGAGTTCTTTGCATTATGCCAGTTTGCTTTGCTTCTAATTGTTGAAAGCCTGGGTTAAATCAGGCGTCCTTGAAGGATTCAACCCAGAAAGAATCCCAGTCTCCTACCAAAACCACCAAACATTTTACCAAGACACCTAGTGTTCTGTCAGGAAGCTAAATTCCACCCTCTGTTCTTTCCAATCTCTGGTAGAGAAGCATTTGCAAACACAAATAGTTGAAGGTCACCGGTAAGAAGTAGAAGAGGGGGATTTTGCACGATCCATCTGTGCTGGGATAATCCAGAATTGGCGGTGAATATGTTGAAGGGCCTACACTACATCAGTAATTCTTTTTCACCTGCCATCCACACCAGTCAAATGTGTTATTCTTGTACATACTTTGGAGAAGAGTGTCAGGCATGTGCATCCCCAGATTGGGCACTCAATAAGTGAGATGGAAAAGCAAGCCTCAAATAAAACATTTTTAATCCCAGTTCGTTAAAACCTTGAGAAAATAAGCAAGTGAATAGCATGTCCTAACTGGTGTAAACTGCTTTCAAGTCAAATCTGCTCATGTGCAGCTAGCTCATGTAAAGATGTATACTGGACAACATGTAATTTTTTCTACCTAAGATACAGAATGAAGAAAAGATCATTGATTTTTAACTGACAGATTTGAGAATCTGGCTGCAATTTTACCACAAATTAGGTGTGTGACCTTAAACTAATTCTTTATATTGCTTGCGTCGCCCTTTCATCTGCAAACCAGTGATTTCTCAATCTTTTTAAAGATCTTTTGCTTTAGAAATAAACTCATAAGCAGCCCTCCCTGGTGCGCAGCGGGTTAAAGCACAGCACTAAGAAGCTAAAGCCACTTCAGCATGAGTTCGATCCCTCCTGCCCCGGAGGTGACCACATGGTGCGGCAGAACTCTCCTGACCCGCCCGCTGCTCCCCTCAGCAGTGTTATTTCCTTGACCTGCCTGTTCTGCTCCCCACTGTCTTGGGTGAAGCCTCTCACCACTCCGCACCTCTGGCCTGTACCCCAGTTCTGTATGCATAAATAATCTTTTAGAAAAAAAAAACCTCATAAGGAATCTCAAAATGGATATACAAGAATATACAATTTATATATGAAAATCTACAAATTCCATGCAGGCATTATTAGAAGAAGGCTGTCCAGCAACAGCCTTGTATATATTTCAGCTGTACAGCTGTGTGACCATGGGCAGATAACTTCACCTCTCTGAAACGCGGTTTCCACATACAGAAAATAGGAACAATAACAGTAAACCCCTAGGGTCTTTAAGAGAAGTAAATTAACTCGTCTACGCTTCAATGGCATGGAACTCCAAATATGTTAGCTACTCCTGGTACTTACATTGTAGCTATGACTGGACAGGCTACAACAGCAGCATGCCACACTGGACAGGGGTGGTCATCACTACGGTGTCTTTTACACTTCTATTTAAAGGATCTATCCATAACTTTTGAGAACCCAACTTTCATAAGGTGAGGGATTTCTGTGTATAAAATGATAAAAGTGATTCTTATGATAAAACCAAGAAGAAGTTCAGGGATGTTCTTACCATACTTCTGAATAATGGTTATCTGAAAGATGAAGAATTGGGAGGGGATTTGAGAAGGGGGTTTCTAGGATGACTACCAATGTCCTACAGCAAAGCTCTAGATCAACTAGGAGCTATTAGAACTGTTACCTTTATAATTAACTTTATATCTTTACATAATGTTTCATAATTAAGCTACACCTTTATTTTAGACATGCTCTGTATCTTTGTTTTACAACAAAAAGGTTTTAAAAACTGAGGTTTCATGAAACAAAATCAATGAATGCTGATAGATTTATGCTTACTGGCTTCCACATGCTAACATTTTGCCATGTAATGCAAATCATTACAGATGTGTTATTGTCTTATTACACTTTAAAAATACTTCTAGAAACATATTTTGCAACAGGAACTTTGTAACATCCAAAAGTACTTCTGTAGGCATCAACCACCTGGGTAATGTTCTTTGAACACCAGTGAATATTAACATTTTATTTATGATTTCATGATACTTAATTTTTTTAAGCTACATTCTGGCAATCAAAATCTTGTCCTTCATAATTTGATCATCTTCATGAAACACCAATTATTTTTACCTGAAATGGGGGACTTTGCCATAGTGTCTAACCTTCACTTCCATCATTCTCTAGTAAGAGTCAAAAATCCAAATATTTTCTAAGAGGTAAAACTGCCGTCTAGGCCCATGCTTTCTCTAGAATTCTCCATTTACAAAAGGCAAATGATTTAAGTTTCCTGAGTAGGAGAGGAAATTGAGGAGAAAGAGCTTGTCCACATCTTTGAGGCTGGGAGGAGTACACACATTTAGCCATACCATCTGTATAAATGGTACCAGAGTTCAAGATGCTTATGATTAGGAGGGTTTATGATTTATGCTTGCTAGTTAAATATGCTTATGATTTAAACTTATTTTCTCTGGCAAGAAATAAGCCAGTCAGCACCACAGCCTGCCAGATGATGGGAAATAGATACATATTTCAATTATATACATTTTAACTTGCCAAGTCTTGTAAATGCTACTGTTTTCTTTTCTTCCTATAACAAAAGACCTAGCTTCCTATAAGAGTCCAGAGATTTTTAATACATTCAGAGTGAAAAGAGTTAAGAGTTCTCTAACAGCAGTTACAGAACAAAAATAATCAGTGGCTTATATCTCAAAAAAAAAGTGTATCTTGGGAGGGAAGGAGAAACTTTTATTAATAAAACAACTAATTAACATGTCCAAAAAGTACATGCATAACCATGTAAGTACACATGGGATACAGGGCAGCAGGTATCAGGAAGTTTTAAAGCTTTTAGAGTATTATGCCCTGCTCCTCAAAAATGTTATTAAATTTGCTATGTTCAAAGTGACTAGTGATCACAAACATCGTTTCTGAATTGCTTGCCTCTACAACAAAAGACAGGCAAACCTACAGAAGAATGGGAGAAGTAAGAGTCTACCGGCATTTATGTTGTTTTTAGCACAATATAATAGTGAGAAAGAAAGAGCCATTTCAGTTTACTTGGCTAAACAGGGATAACTGAATTGTATGGGCAAACTGGAGGACAAAGAGAAACAGAGTAATTGACTTACGGTAAAATGAAACTATCCTTAGAAAAGGCTAAAGAAAGAATTAAAACTAGTGAAACGTGTTCATCCTAAGACCACGATGAGCCCTGTCACTAAATGTGTTCAACAGGAGAGGGTGAGAGCACAAGATACCTGCTAAGTGCTGGATGCTGTGGTGGAAGCGTCAGCTGGCCACCAAGGTTCATTATATGCTAGAGTAAGCAGGGTTATGACAATCACCACACATATACTTGGAACTTACTAAGGTGAGACAATGTGGTCAATAAAATTGCATGAGATTTTAAATCTGAGTGAGAAGAAGGACATTTCTATACCAGTGAAAGCAAAGACAGAGTGACAATTAAGGGCAACAGATTAGAAAGGATCTTATGAAAGTTCTATAACTAATAAATTTAAACAAACCCTGGAAATTACATCTTGAAAAAGGAAGGAGCACAAATTTAAAGCTATTTAGATTCAAATCAGGAAAGTGTAAGACGTTTGTAAAAATAGTCAACACATTTGCACTAAATACACACATCACTACATTTTCAAGTAAGGAAAGTGTAGTCTAGTCTTACCTTATTGTTGCAAAAAGCTGAAATAAAAATTACTGACTTATAGAAGCAAGTTTCACATGTATCTGAACATCAAACACAACATACAATATAAAATCAAAAATAACTAGAACAGAAAAGTTTTCGGTCTGACCTTAAAAATACTGAGCAAATCACTAGATGAAGCCAGATCAAAAGGAAGGGCATTACACCAGCTTGTCGCCATATGTGAAAGGGCCCCACTGCACAGGGCACAGATGGTATACAAAGGAGAGGAGGGGTACAAGCAGATCCAAAGCATAAGGCAAATAAACCTGGTTTAACTTACACAGGTAACAAAAGGAATGGCTAATTTCGAATGCAACTGATAAGACTTAAAATTTGGGACAAACAGTGCTAGATTCCCCAAGCCAAAGTATGCTCACCAGAATAAGCTCTGAATCCTTTTGTGTAATCATTTAAATGCAACTAAAACCTCAGTGAGGATACATGCAAAGGGGTGGTGGCTTGCTATTGAACAACAATTGAGAAGACAGTTAAAAACCATTTAAAAACCATACAGTGATTTTAAGTCCAACTGGATAAAGGACTGAGAAATTTGGGGGAAGTTTAATGTACGCTTACAAAACCAGCAGCTCTAGTGAAAATAAAAACTCAGTTTATTTAAATGCTCAATGTCTTTTAATAGACCCCATTCCATTCATTATATAATGTAAAATGCTGTGACTGAAATTTTCACCCTCTTAAACCTTCATTAAAAGACTTTTCTTTGTTTGTAAAAAGATGAGGGGGCAATTAATTTCCTGTAGAAAATTCAGTAACAGTTATTTACTTCATACTCATTTCTCCATTGCAAAGTTACAGTTATAAAAACGGTGCGTAGACAGCTATTCTAAAATAAAATATTAAGAAAAGCTCTGACTTTTCAACATTAGAAATTGAAGTTTTCATTAAACCTTGCATTTCATTCAATGAGCAGGAAATTTTTTCAGGCAGCAACCCAAACAAAAACATTTAACACAGAATTCCTTCAACCTCATGATTTCTGAAGGACACAAAAGCATAGAATATCCAAAAGGTTACTTTATTGGATATTCTAATAAAGTACATTCAACACACACATAAACAATGGGACTCTAAATTTTAGTAGCAATGATAAACAAAAAATACTGACTTCATGATGACTTGCTTACCATTTACATAGTTTAGGGAATGCTATTTGTTTTGATACTTGTATGTATTAAAGAATCCCTCCAGTTTAGTTAACACTTTACCTAAGTTACACCTAGGAGTGGCAATTTTAGTGTATGTTCATTCCCAGGCTACTTTAATAGTTATTTGAACAGTTTTGCATTATTTTACATGCAATTTTATAGCTCTATAACACTCATTTAATCTTGTTCAATGATGCTGAAACCCAGGTGCCATAGACAATATAGAAAAGTAGCTGCTGCACATACAGAGTAACTACTTTTTTCTGAACATTAATTTCTTTTGTCTTAACAGGTTGAAACAGTATTTAGAAGAGAGAAAGCCTTTGTGGTAAAGGCTGTATAGTATGGACTTCCAGAGAGGCTACCGCCGACTTCTATGATGCTAGAGTTCTTATGTACCATTACTATCTTTTCAAGTCTTAGCAACAAGGCTTCACAAGCTTTGTTGGTATTACACATTCTCAAATCAGGTCACCTTGGAGAGCTTGGGCGATTTTGAGGCTTTTCTCATTTGTTATGTGCACGTATGGGGCAGGGGTGGTCAAGTGAAGTTGAAGTTGAAGATCACCCCCATTAGAGTTATAGGAGTAGCTTCTATAAAAGCAGAGCCTACATCTTCCTAATATACTGAATCAGAACCTCTGTGGTTAGGGCTGAGAAGTCTGCATATTAAGTGAGCACTACAGTGATTCCGCTACATGTGAAGGTGTCTAACAAGCACTGGTAGATGATCTCAAAGGTCCCTTCCACTTGAAAATTCTGAAGAGTCTGTGAGTTGTACCAGCAAGTCTCTCTACAATACAAGATGGTGGCTTTAGCCTAAATAAGTATTCTTAGATTTTGAAGGAAATGTAAAAATAGAAAACAAAAACAGAGCCATACAAGCAAATGTATGAGGAATCTAAATGCACATTTTTCTTCCTGGGAGGAGAGGAAGACCCTGCTCTAATAGCTACACAGAAGCATCAGTCCAACAGGGTTTCCCCTGCCCTCATTTCCTATCATTTTCCTTTTCCTTGATTCCTCTCAGTTATTAATATCCAGGATTTTTACAATCCTGAATCTCCACACACTTAAAGTTTTCTTTTTTTAATAGATCTGAATATATTATTTTAAGAAATAAGCTACCTACAGGCAGTCCTCTACTTTCATTATAATGAGTGAAATCCTACAGAAAAATACAATATAAGAAAAGTGAACAATATGCTTACATTTTAAAGGGTGTTCCATGTTGGAAAATAAAATAATAAAACCCTAATTTAACTTCTCCTTTTGAGCATGAAATTTGACAAAATATTTCTGATATTTCCTGTATGTTACTTGCATTCTTTTCTTAATCACTGTTCAAAGGCTCAATGAGAACCTGAGATCCCATCCAGAGAGTTCTATCTTTAATAGATTTTTATTAGGTATAGGAGAGCTAAACTCTTACCAGTAGTATCGAAGCAAATTTTTATAATATCATAAGAGCAAAATGCAGAAGAATTTTCAAATGATTACACAAACAGCTGGATATCTTATGCTGCTGAGCCAGAATGGTCAGCTGGAAGGCAGCGCCACCATGTGACAGCTCCAAATGCTGTCGGTGCCACGGAAGCGCGAAAGTTGGGATCCTCTCAAAACTAGGTTTCTCATTTAAAAAAAAAAAAAAAAACTACTTCCTCTCAGAATGAGGTTATTTTCAAACACCAAACTCTCATACTGCCTCAGCCACTGAGAGGCAGAGGGAGGAAATGAGAGCCGAGTATAAGGATGACATCTGATTCTGTCAGTCATGTCAGAGAGCAGGCTGAATCAGACACCGAGCTTGGTGGGGTGACCAGCTTTGGGGGGGGGGGGTAGAGGTTGGTCAGGCTAACAGTCTGCAGTGTTCCTGGTTTAAGGAAGCCTGGACTGGGTGTAGTCTGCAGACATCAAGGCTCCATTGGTAGATCGTATTTAATGCCCAGTGAACCCAATTTATAAACCTTCTTTCAATCATAGTGTCTTGTGACTGTGTGTATAGTGTGAGGTGAGCTACCTGAAGAAGAGAGCTGAGAGAGAGTCAATCATGTTAAACTTATTTAAAGTTTACTGGAGTTGTATTCCCCCTTTGGCAGCCTCTCCCCCATCATTTTTATGATGAATTTAATAGCCACATTATATTCAATGTACATATTTACTGTAAACTATACCCTCACTTTGGAAGTGTGAAAAAGTGGTGGTGGGGTGGAAGAAATTTAAAAATTTAGTACACACTTCAGAAGAGATTACAAAAGAAAACTGAAATATAGAGAAGTTTCTCACAATATAGAGAAAACTGAAATATAGAGAAGGGTATTATTCGTGCTTATTTAGTGGTTGTAATTTTCCCACCTATAGTATGACAGCCTAGGTCCTAACAAGAGGAGAAAAAGCATGTTGATTTCCATCAGAGTCCCTAGCTCTGCGTCACAGAGACTAGAAAGTGAGCTCTGGCTTCTGTGTGGCTCTGTGCAGGGAGCTGAGGCAGCACTTGCGAGGAGTCGGCTGAGAAACGCAGACTCTACTGCTGTTTCGCATGTTCCCCAGCAATGGCCGGGATGGGTACACTTCCATAATACAAAGGTCACATGCCCCACAAATATTTCTTGGCATCCTGAGTATTAGCTCCTTTAATCCAAGAAGGTAACGAGAGGCTTTAAAACTGATTAAATCAGCTTAGTTCATACAAAGTCCACTATGAACTATTCAATTAAAACAATGTCCTAAGCAAAATCTGACCAAATCCTCTTAATTTAGATGATAGGTGCTTGACATTTGGCGAATTAAGTCCTTTTATAGTTGGTATTTGCTACAGGGTAAGAAATAGTTGAGCATTTCTGCAGGACAAAAGTTCCATAATCATAAACAACAGAAACTAGAAAACACTGATGTGAACCTAACATTCCTATTTATTATTTTATTTCAAAGGCTACATACATGAAAATTGGATCATATCACAATGCTTTAAATAAAGTTCAAAAATAAAAATGATTCATGATCTATTTACTTGTGAAAGATATGACAATTACAATGAACGTAGGTCAATGATATTTTTCCTAATCTATAAGAAAAATACGTATCTTATAAAAAAGAATTTTAATTTATGTCCAGAATAATTCTTTAAAAATCCTTAATAAACAATTTAAAATCAAGTGGATGTTAGTACAATGTTTAGAGAAACTATTTCCAGGGTTTTGAAAAATGGATCTGATATTTTTATACCTCATTTTGAAATCACTGAAGAAACTCAAGTTTAGAAACAATTATTTAAAAACTACTGTCACTGTTATAGTTGATATGGTTAGTATTGCATATGAAGAGCAGTTTTCATAAATAGATACTGTTGAAAGTCCTTTTAAAGGCCTGGAGGATTTTATTTACAAACACATGTTGGGGACTGGAAGTAGACCTCTATCTCTGCTGGTCAAAGCTGAGAGAGGAATTAAAGATCCTGGTGCAAGCCCTTCTGTGAAGTGTATAAGCATGTGCGTGTTCTCCTGACTCCAAAACCAAGTCAGGAGGAGGAAGGGTCTCCTAAGGCCTGCCTTTTTATCATGTAAAAGCAGGAGGAGGCTTAGCAGAGCTGAAAGAGGAAACTGTCACGTTTAGAGGAAGTTTCAGTGTTCCATTGAGTAGCCATTTCCTTCTGCTAATACCAGTATGTCTTTGGTAAATGACTATATATATATTTAAAATCAACAATTCTAATAACTAATATGAACAGAGTATACTCAAAGTTCAACTTTGTGAATGTTCATATTCCTCCTGGAAATAAAGTTTAACGTCTTGTTCATAAAAGAAAAAGGGAGGCCAGGTAGGACTACAGACGTCAGGAAGAGCATATACCATGAACAGAAAAAGGGGACCATATAACAAAATGTGTTGGCATTGATTTGGAAAGGACCAAGTACATGCCCTCAAAATTTGGAAGAAATTTTTCAAACAATTAAAATATCACTTATCTTTAAATCAGAAATAGGTTTTCTACTGGGAGAAATCCCTTGCTATGACTCTAAGCCTTCATTTGAAAAAGGCTGAACAGAAATTCTGCTTAGAAATCTTTCCATAGAGGGCCCAGAGACCTAGAGTCTGGTTTACAGCCTGATATTCAACTGTGATTATAGTTTACATATTAGACAACCCAACTATTATTTTCCTTTTATCACTAAAAAATGTTTTAAAAAGGAAAAATAAAAGATATGTGTGCTGTCAGTGCAAAATCAAATTAAATACGTTTTTTTTCCCCCTTGGGACAGAGAAAACAATGCCCAGTGCATAGTAGGTAGGAATGTGTCACAACAAATAATCAAAAGACAGGTTTCACCAAGCTAGCATTCCTCCAAGTACAGTGTGGTTTTCAAAAGCATTATTGTCACGATTATGCATATTCTCATTAACTAGGTACAGCAGAGCTACTGAAAGGGAAACCGATTTCTTGTGCCTCAATGAAAGGGGAGTGTAGAAAACAATAATTAGACTGAATAAGGAATTTAAAAGGGCAAAAAAAAAATCAGAGTGAAAGGAACAGAGAATTTAGAAAGCCAAAAATAAAAAAAGCATGTAACGTGACTGTAGAAACCCACACAATCTCCCCCCCACCCCACCTGCCACTTTGCGTCCTAATTGCCCAATCTGCAAGGACAGAAACCCACTCTAAATTGACCAGCATCGGGCTTCGGCAAGTCTTCTCTTCACTCTCCCTCCTGTTAAGACCGTGTCCAAAACCAATCAGCAAAGGACAAAGAATTCTTTACAGAGTGCAATTAGTGTTTTCCACGTCCACCTTCAAAAGCATGATGCTCTTCATGGGCTAAAGGACAGAAAAAAACAAAAAAAGAAAAAAAGGAAAGAAAACTTTAAGCAAAGGATGGGGCAACCCTCTTCTAGGCATCTCATTCAGTTTCCCCAAATGTTGGCAAGAACTCAAATACCTTTTGTGCCAGTTAGCTAAGATGTGCATTTCCTGAGAAACATAATAATGAAAATTAAAACAAGGAATAAACAAGCAATGGACATGCCTCTTACTTCTGGCTGTGCCAGAGAAGATGGGTAATCCCTGCAAGCTGATGGACAGAATAGGTCTGGTGCAATCAAGTGCTAGAGGGGAAAATGCAGCCCACGGAGGCATGAGTGGGTAGGGGGCTGGCATTACCCAACATGTGGCCATTAACAAGCCTAACTTTAAGAGTAAAATGAAATAAAAATAAAACAAAGGACAATACAAGGTAGGCCTCCCTACTTCTGAATACCCTAACATGGGAATGAAGTCTTCCAAAATTGATGTCACCCCCCTTTGCCCCCTGCCCCATAGTGTTCTTTCCCCTTACTGTCTGACTTGCAAAATTACTAATTACAATTAGGAACTCCAGAGTAAAATGTTTAGGCGACCAAAAATAGCACTTTGAAAACTTAGGACTTTGTGAAGTGGATGTGGGAAATGGGAGACCTATGAAGTATGTAACATTTCCTTCAGGCAAAAGGCCAAGACTGAAAACTGGCTTCCTGAATATGGTTAAATTATCACCATATTGCAAGAGCTGATTCTCTTCTCTTAAGTGGAAACATCACCTTGGCAGGATCTGATGAAGCCAAGGTGACTCGGGACCCAGCCTCTCCCTCCGTCAGCGGTGACTGGGGTGCCTGAAAGGCCCAGAGGGGCCCCATGTGGTAGGGTCTGGGGCAGGGCTGTGTACCTTCAGAAGCATTGTGCTCCTTTTCTATCTGGGGTAAACCAGTGGGGGAGGGGCAGTCTTTGTTTCCGAGGGTTACCTTGGGTTGGTCAGACTCCTAGGGGTGCCTGAAACCCAAACTGACTTAAGTGAACATTTCTCACAGATATAACTTCACAAATATTTCACTTTTTATGTTTCTTGCTTTCTTTTTTTTTTAAGGAGGCTATTTCAGGGCAGACACCAAAGCAAACATGGCTTGCTCTACAACAAAATATACAGAGTCTGGATCAAGTGAGGAGCCACAGGCTCAGTGATGCTGGGCTCCAAACTGCAAAGCAAGTAGGGACTGCCCATGGACTTTTGCTACTTCAAGGCATGAATGCCACTGTGGGCAGAGTTGAGACACAGGAAAACTACACATTTGATGAGTTATGGAGGTAAAACAAAACACTCAGAACTTGGAGAGTTCTAGAAACAGAGCTCGTTCTGTCAATCTTTGGTCAGCCTCAGAAGAGAGAGGAGAAACAGAAATGCTCTAAGCCAGGAGACCATAAACTTATGGAAAAGTATTTTGGGGTCTCTGTGCCAACTTTAACACTGTCATTGTAGCACTTAAAGCAGCCAGAGGTGATATGTACAAAGTGAGCACTGCTAAGTGCTAATACACTTTGGATACGGACTCTGAAATGTAAGTTTTATACAAATTTTACAGAATATATAACTATCCTTGTGATTTTTTTTCAGCCTCTTAAACATGTGAAAACAGGTCTTAACTATAGCCCATACAGAAGCAGGCAGGCAGGGGAAGATTTGGCTTGAGACTTAAGAGTCTGCCAACCTAAAAATGATTCTCACATCAGAAAGCACTTTGTCATTCAGTTGCTCTGAAGAATATAACAGGATTTGAGGAAGAGGAGTCTCTATACACTGAGTTCCTCAAATAACCAATATGTAGCCAAATCATAGAACTTGTCAACCCCTTCCAACTGGAGGCCTTGACCAAATATGCTTAGAGTCTTCCCACAGGGAAAACCTACTATGTCACCTGGCATGAATACTTAACACTCATGAATACTTAACACCAGGATCCTACCTCAAGACAGAGTAAAAGCATGGAATTGGCTATTTCTAACTTAGCTTCCTGATGAGTGCGCTTTATCATGCTAAAAGATATTTGTCCAAATCTCATTTTCCCAAATAATTCTGCAGCAATGAAGTATAACCCTACTGAGTAAAGGACTGCCTGCGTCATATGAAACAAAGAGAATTGTTTGTTTTTCCCAATTCAAACTTTTATTTGAATAATCTGTTTTAAATGTAAATTTATGTCATTAAAAATTATGGATTTCTAGTGAGATCAGTTCTACATTACTCACAAGCTCCATGATGGTATCAATCCTTAGGATGTCTACTCAGCTTGATTTAATGGGCCAAGCTGCAATGGTCTCCCCTTACTCGGCTCTCATCTTCCTCCTGGCCCATGAGAACAGCTAAGCAATGACTCATTCTTATTCATCTTACCTGATTGTTGTCATTGCCCTAGAAGCTAGCCTTACCACTCTGGCTAATCACGACACACTTATATCTTGTTGATGCTAACCAACATGGTAGTTACCTAGAAATTTAATTATAGAATTTTGAAGTAGAAGGAACCTTGGAGATCATTTAAGACCAACCTCCTCAATATTTAGATGAGAAAGTGAAAGGATGAGTAGATGTGATTTGTTCAAGGTCACACTGTTGAAGTGGGACAAAAATTTAGAGTAGCCAATTTCATGATTCCAAACTGCTTTTTCTCCTCTTTGGAGGAAAATATAGGGCTGGTTCAAAGGTGGTAAAGAATGTTGACTCCTTTTCATAAATGGTAATGAAACACACTTCCTTTCAGAACTTCTCTGGGAGTTAGTCTTGTGGAAAGAGACAAGACCCTCGGTGACCTCTCAACTAATATGTGGGTTGAAAACACAAATGTTTCGTAAGGAATGACAAGTTGTATCTATGAATATGCAATTTCTACACTGCGCAGCTAATAAGCACTTTCTGCAGTGCCTTTCTCTCTCTCTCTCTTTTAAGCTTTCATTTAAAACTAAGATGCTAACCACCTCCTCACTCTCTGTAGCACCTGGCCAAATCCACTACTTAAAATCAAAATCACCTAGCCTGTGAGTGTCAGCTTCCTTAGAGAGAAGCCTTGGTTTTAATATCTTCTATCTTAGGAAAACAGTCATGGATTAAAATGTGAGTTTTTTCCTTTCTGGTAAGGGACTTGGGAAAAGTGAGAGATGCATATCCCACCCCCCCCTCCACATTCCCCACTCCACATTTGAAGATTTCTATAATCAGTAATGTGTCATTGTTTAACTGGGAGTCTTTTATTTTCCTTTCTTAGAAATACTAAAATAATACTTAGCATTAAGGGCATCTTAGCTTCAATAAAATAGAACAGTTTAAAAACTGGGTTACTGACTCTTGAAACATTCTGGGAAATGGGAAACATGCCATATATGCATAGGGCTGTCAATCTTTTTCTCTAACTCCTTATTAAAACTGTAACCTGCAGATGGATCTACCAAACATTGGTTTAATAGCACTAAGCTGTTTTCGTTATAAAAAAGATGGCTTTTTCAAAAGAGCACACAAAAGCAATGAACATGAATTATGATGGAAACAATGGGTCCACACACCTATTCATACTGTGAACATTTCACCACTATGCATGAATTCTCTTTTGGTTCTATATCACAGTCATCGTAATGAGGAAGTATTAGCATTTCAGTAGAACATTCAATCATCCCTATGCTCAGATACACAAATACAGATGTTATACATTATAAATTCCTGTTTATGAAGGGATGATTGAATATCTACCTGCCAGTTCATATAATAACATTTTTGTTATTGTTGCTTCAAATAGAATGTAATTTTTTTGAGAATGACAAATTTAAATCAGGCTTAAATGTTTGAAGTAACAAATACAGTATGTCTCTTCTGATCCATGCATTTAGGTGACAATAAAACCTCATTTTAATTTCTGAGACTAAACTTTTTCTTTTAAACAATGAAATGTAGTTTACTGAATTATTTTCTGGATTATAGAATTTCAAATGACTCTGCCTTCACCTCATTTGCAACAGTTTCTATCTTTAAAAGTATGACAGAATATGTTAGAAAGTAATAACTGAAAATGAAGCACTTACGTTTATAAAATACTGCTTTAAAAGATATGTGTGGCAGAAGTTCATAGATCTTTTCTAAAACGGTTGCTTCTCCCACTAAAGAGGCATTTACATTCCAGACTTGGACGACGTCTTCTCGGTCCCGAACACTGACACTAACTCCTATGACTTCGTCATCTGAGAGGAAGATGGGGAAAAAAAGAAGTGAGTGATAGTTTCGAGTCTGCCTGTGCTGCTTTTTAAGCATGACTGTTTTTAAGTGGTGGATAAGATGATAAAAAGGAGATGGCACAAGAGAACTCACAGCAAATAGTTGGTGCTGAGGGGAATCACTCGGCAAAAGCAAGTTAGCAGACAAAGCTGTTGCGGTCACATCACATTTATCCAGGGACTCACAGAAACAAAGTGTTCCAGTAGGCAAATTTTCCCAATAAGTAATTTACCCTTTTTAACATGTCAACAAAGCTTTCTATTTCTTACTGTTTTGATGAGACTTTTTCTAAAATGAATTGCGTAAGACTATGCCTTCTGAAAGCCAAGTGAACTCACATGAACTTTTCCTGGATGCCTCACTGTTAAGTACAGCAAGCATTTCTCCTGATTTCCTGCCCAGCTTTCAGAGATCTTGGGGTGGTTAGTGCTGTTTACCCTAATACTAACTAGGCCCAGACTGTGTTCCCAGTTGCTCACACTGCTTTTGTAGTTTTCTATTTCTTTCTTTCTTTTTAAAAGTAACCATTCTGGCTCTCTAGTGCGCCCGTTGAGCCACTCCCTTCAGTTTGAGGTTCTTAACTATGGGCTACAGAATCTGTGACCATCTGTTAGCACTGTGTACAAAGTAAGAGTAAATATCTTCAGAGTGTGGGTCTGCTATTACAATACTATAGTGACCAGACATTAAAGTACTGATCGACATTGACTAATGTAGGTCTTCTTTTGTCCAAATTTTGGGCTTGGGACTGCCCTGTGGAAAACTGTCAAGTTTTGTTGCACTGTCTTATGTTCTCCTGGAGTCACTTTGCTTACACTCACTTGTTTAAAAAAAAAAAAATGATAGCAGTAAAAACATTTCAGGTTCATGATATATTAGCTCTCCATTTGCATACCCGGTACCAGTAAGTAAAAGGCAAAAGATAAAATTTTAAAATCAGGAAACTTTGCCTTAATATGCTTAATATGCTTTGCTTAATTTTCACAATGTGCTGTACATCTGTAAATGTAAATACTTGTGCCATCCCTTTTTAAGTTGCTTTTCTGGAGGTTTAGAACATTCTGGCATTTAGACACAATTTAAGGAAGGACATGTCCAATTTACAAATGGGATTCATCTTCAGTAAAAAATTCCTTTCTTTTCTCCTTCTTTACCCCCTCTCCCTGTCTTCCTTCTTTCCTTTAAAATCTGATGCTAGCTAAGGGTATATGATTTGACACTGAATTATTTATCTATTTATATAAATGTTCAAAAACAAGCAAAAATTTTCTTATAGGAGTTATGTTAGTGGCCACCCTGAATGGAAAGCAAAGAGAGATTCTGGGGAGCCAATAATTTTCTGCTCCTTGAGCTAAACATTAGTTAGAAAAATCTGTCACTTTACGAATACTTATGAAGCCATGTACAACAGTATAGCTTGTGAAAACTTCTGTACATAATGTCAGATTTAAACAAAAATTTCCAAAAAAATAAACAGTACCTGACCATGGCCATCCACTAAAACTTACTATTCCATCAAATTTATTTTATGTATTGATTTCTGATTTTTTTATACCTTGTAAATATAATTGCTAACACTGAATGTTAAATCTGGTGTGGAAATAAAACAATTAATTGGGGGAAACTTTGCATTTTACCATTTCCATGAGTGACAATAAAGTCACTAGATCAGTCTTTTATGGAAATTTCTAGCATTCTCTGGTGCTTTCTTTTTGCCATGTCTATATGTTGGTCAGAAGGTGCTATCATTAACGGAGCTGAGTGCTGAACTGTCAGTATTTCAATTTGACTTGGCTTCTGGTAATGGAACAGCCCATGAGCATAGCACGTCACAAATGTCATGGATAGGAAAGTTGCAACCCTTGCACAAATAGAGATCGGGTCACAAACAAATCATAAAAGTAAAATCAACCAGCAAAAAAACCCTGTTATTTTAGGGTAATGGTAGCAAGACATTAGAGCTAGGAGGAGCCATCATTTAAAGATGAGATAAATGGGACTGGTTACTTCATGTGGTGGGTTGACGTTATTGGGAGAACTAATGGTTAGCAGTTACTAGTGTACTCATTTCCTAAGTCAACTACAGAACAACAGGCCCTCTTTACTCAACACTGGATATTAATTGTTATTTACGCCATTTTCCCTGGTTCTGGAAACAGGAATAATCATCCAGAAAACCTCCTCTCACAGGGATGTATGAGTTTATAATTATACATAGGATGCAGTTTTTGTTACACATTGTGCATTTGCTAACTACTCCCTATAAAACATAAGGAATTTATACTTCAGAGATATTTTCGTTTTAATACAGGTTTTAAGAGAGTAAAAGGTGGTATAAGAAGAAGGCAAATAAAAAGTGTAAAACAAAAATTGAATGATTGAAACAACTAGTGAGATGAGTTGAAATTTGCTATAGAACTAGCTAGGTCTTATTAGCACCATCTAAGATTTGTAAGGGCAAATCATTTCATACCAGTTAGTTAAAAAATAACCATCACTGAATGGTAAATAGGAAGAACAATCACGCTAAATGTTACTATTGAAGAAGAAAACAAAACTTCAAACAATTCAATTATCCTGGTTTCATGATTCAATTAAGTGGTTTCATGATTAAAAATAAAGCAAACCAAAAATGTACGCTCATAAATGCACTTGATATTTGAAAATGGTCTCCGAGTAAAATCGTAAAGATCTCATATTTTGGCCTTAACTGTGGGCCCACCAGAAATAATGCTGAGCATTAACCCTTCCTATCTTTTATAGCTCTCTTTGATGGGGGACCAAGACAAGGACAGGAAGGAGGAGGAAGGGGTTGGGAGGGGTGGAAAGGAAGGTACCGACTTCATCAGACCCTTTAGGAAGAACTGAACAGATAAAGGAAACCTACCACAAATTGTTTAAAGGGCCCAAATTTCTTTTCTATCTGCTTATTTATTTTGGACAGATGTACATGGGTACTAAGAAGATGAGCTATGAGGGAAAAGAATATATGCATATACACACATATATACATATACACATATATACATATGTAAATATACATACATACACATACTAAATGCCACAATCACATGTAAAAAAATCTAAGCAACTTCACAGTTATAAAATAAACACACAAATACAAACTTCTGCAAGTATCAAGCACAAGCCAAGCACACACGCCAGGGATGAGCTGTGAGCTTCTTTACCTGCAGCAGCACAGTCTGTGAATTGTTCCCCGATAGTCGCTAATAACAACTCTTTCCAAACTGTGGACTTGTATGGGGAAAAATAAAAACAAACAAACAAACAGAACAGAAAAACAACACACATATTTTTAGACAATTATCTTCAGGAGCTAAACAAGTTGCATCTGCTTCAGCTTCACATGCACTGGGTCCATGCCCACCACTGGACTCTGCAGATATCGCCAAATCACTGTGGTGTCATATACTGTAACGTTTTACAGGTAAATTCACAGAGAGATACAAGTGATCCAAAGTCACAAATGTTGTGTCCAGTCACAAAGTTAGTCTTTCATGAAATCTCTGATGATGATCAGAAGCAAAATGATTTGCTTAACTGACCATCTCTTTACCTCACACTAAACTAAAAATCTATCAACTTGTTATATTTGAACGCTATTAGTAAAATCATTTTCTTCCAAACGCTTTCCTCTGTTGTTCTTGTGGCATACAAAGTGTTTTAGAGCTTATACAAATAAAGAACATTAAGGTAATTTCAGGTTTACTAAATACTAGAGACTTGCAAATTCCTATCCATTCAATGCAGGCTGTCAATGCTAAGTGGCTGAACTGGATAGAGACATTCCCCGGTAATAATTAGCAAACTCCCTGATCCACTGCTTCCCAGAAAGAAAACTGGAGTCCTTGCTAGTCACCATCTACTAATGCCATCCAGGAGACAGTTGGAATCCACTCACAGGGGCCTGGAGATCTATTTCACTTCCTCACATAATTCCCAGGCTCTAAACTCCCCCAGAACCAGATCTGGATCCTGAAAGAATACTTAGCGTCTGTGCCCAGGTAAGTTATCAATCTTTGTAAGCACAGATTTCCATAGGCAAACAGGGAATAATAATAGGGCCAACCTCTCATGGTGGTTGTGACCGAGAGATTAGTCAACAAATATATTCAAAAGCTTACCACTGTGACTGCAACAATAAGCCTCAACATTTAAGATCCACTCCATAAACAGCCACATGTTTGCTATATGCCAGGTGCTCAACACAGATTAGCTATAATAATAGTGTTATTATATTCTAATGAGCAGAAAACAGCCTACTTGAATTTTAACCAAGACAACAGCCATTAACCATGAGGACTCACTCTCAGGGAGGATTTTCTTTGCTCTCTCCTAGCTCCTCCCAACTGGTTTGCTTGTCTGCCACACACATCAGGCCTTTCACTTCCCACCTGTCCTAAATGCTCTTACAATGGTGGCAAAGTTGTGGATGAGAGAAGAGAAATCATGCTCCCTCATTTTTAATTACAGGAAGGTGAGACACTGGAGTCCCACTTGTCAGCAGGCTGGACTGCAGGGGGGATGAGGGCATCTGTCCAGACACAGCAGCAAGACTGTGGCTGCACTCGACCAATGGGCGGACAAGGAGAGGAATGCTGCCAGTGGCTTTTTGCTGAATGCTGACATCATCATTGTTTTTTATGAGAAACCAACAAATAAAGAACTCGGAACAGGGAAAGCTAGTCTTGCTAAAATTAAAAAACAACAACAAACCCTTTACTTCTCTCATTCTCTTTTGCTCTCTGCTTTTTCTCCTTTTGAGGAGTGCAGAGACATTTCCTACACCTTGCCTGATTTGTTATTTGTTCCCCGGACGGACATTTTTTCTTTTTTTTTTTTTTTTGTCTGCCAACTTAAAAAGCAAATCCTAGGTCTACACATCTTGTCTAATCACTTGCATCTTTAACCAATAAGTGTGGTCCTATCTTTAGGTCTGTGTGTGGAGGGGAATGACTCAAGCTTGAGCATATGCGTCCCTGGAGACATCTCAATTCTTTGAGCTTATCCACATGAAAGAAACTACGAAAAGGTAAAACTGGGTAGTATTTGTCTTTTCATCCATTTTTCAAAGAAGTTTCTTAGTTTCTCAGGGATTAAGAATAGATTTGAAATGTTCATTTTCAGTCAGTACAATGAATTGGAACCCACTCCTGGGAAATCTAAATTTCTGAGGTTCAGCCACTGCCAACTATCATCCCAGAAGGCCAACTCCCCAAGCAGGTCCTCATCAGCCCAGGAAGAGGCTGGCATAGCTTCCCACAAAAACCCAAAGAATGGTGAGATGCAAGGTTATCTCAAACTTAGCATTCTTCATGTCACAGCTGTCCTAAGAACTGTCTATCCCCAGAGGAGGTAGGATGAGTCCTTGGCAGGAAGGACCCTAACTCTCCTTTTGTGAGAGAATCTTTCCATATTTGTGAGAGCAGCTTTCCATATAGCTGCTGAGGAAATGATGGCCAGGAAGATAATCAGTTTTCTGTAAAGCTTATAAGTATTCAGCACTTTCAATGACAAGATACTATTATACCACTACTGTAGAGAAGCACAATACATCGTTGAGGTGATAGTGCCATCTACAAGGTCAGAGCAAAATTTCTCACCTGTCTTGTTTTGAGACTAGTGGGGGTTCTGTCCAAAATGCACACGAAACTCATCATATACAGCTAACAACCACCCCAGGCTTAGCCAATTCTAGGAAAAACCTACCGTGCTGTCCTTGGGAACTTTCATCTTCCAAACACCACCCTTTGCATTACTCTCCTCTTCCCTGGATCAAAGACCAACATTTAAAGTTATACTCAAGAAAGAAGGCATTCTATATACATTTAGTTTAATAACAGATGATATTAAAAAACAAACAAAAAAACCCCAATTGTATATTTTTCAATTAATTCCCACCCTGTCCTTTTATTGGAAACAGAAACAAAGGGGGGAAAAGGAAGACAATGGGAAGGGAAAAAGTTGAACCCACTGTTCACTAAGGCAGAGATAGTGATGGGACTCTCGGTTACAGCCCTCAACGAAGTAGGGACAAATTGGGACACATAAATGAACACAAGTGCTTCATAGGTTTGAGGGCCTTTACCCCTCAGTATCATGTTCAGGATATGACCTCATCTGAGTCTCAAAGCAACCTTGTGTTGTGGTTTTAACAAGGAACTCAGTACCTGTAGTGCCTATCTGCTGTGTTTTTCTGCTCCCAATTCCCCTAGAAAAAGCCAGGGTCCCCTACTCTTACATGAGATCCATTCTAATGGGCCGATTCCACTTTTGAGCTTCCAAGATGGACTGATAACTAGGTTTGCATATGAGAACACTGCCTCTTCCTGGTCTGTGTGACTGCTAGCATTGGCAAGGTAGGCAGGTGAGAGCCAGGCCTGGCATTTTACTGGGGTCGGTGAATGAGCACAGTGATAAATTTGTCGGATGTTAAGACTGAAGTCTACAGAAACCACCTTTCTACCACACATGGAAAGCACGCCCGAAAACTACACCGATGAAGAGGAAAGCAAAGTAAAGCTGATGAAAAGTGGCATAGTCCCAGTTTGGCACATTTGATTACCAAGACCTGCCAGAAATCAGATCTATCAGTGGATGTCTCAGTTACAGGGGTCAAAAATTTCATTTGTTTCCCTCAAATAAGGTTCACATCTACCAGAAAAGTCAAGTTAAATCTCTATTTTACTAGTGAGTAAATAACTTAAAACAGTTGAGGGACATGATATAGGGATTTATGACTGACTGGGACTCTAGCCTAAATAGGTTTCCACCTACCACCTTCCTCACTACACCAAGTTATTAGAGAAAAGGACTAAGGACCTGGGTCGCAATCATAAACTCTCCATGTGGCCCATGAGGAGAGACGTCTGGGGTGACAGGAGCTTTCTTCAACCACCTAACAGCCAAAGTATAGCGCATCTGTTCCCTTCAACTCATCGGCTGAGAAGCTAAAAAGCTCCTCATTCCACTTTCCAAGTCACTGTTAAACAAATAAAGGAGCAAACCAAAAGTATGCACTGCCCCCAAGGGACTGCATGGTGCCCACGGGAAGATTGCAGTGAGGCACTCACTTAGTGGAGGAGTATCGAGTCCCCCACTCACTAGTCCCAGGGGGAGTGGGCAGTAGGCAGGGACTCATTTCAGAGCTAAAATTAGTTTGCAACATCACCAGCAGAAAACTACTTTGGCATTCCAATTCAGCATGACGTAAATATTTTATGAGGTTCATAACCGTTTCCCTCCCACCTTAACCTCAAATTATATATTAGACACTTACCAAAGTGGTCGCCTCTCTCCTCTCATTAAATGATAACTACATCTCAAAGGCAGGCTAGTCACAGGAGGAATATTATTGTATACACTCCAGAATATCTTTAAAAGAAAAACACTTTGTTTAATATACCCAGTATTGATTTACTATGCTACATGATTATGAAATTAATGCATTAAAGAAAAAAATCAGATTCTCATTAAGTCCTAGCCATTCAAAATAGATTTTTCTCAGTGTTCTTTCTAATTTCCTGTTAGGAAGTGTAACATAACATTAAAGAATATTCCTTGCTGAAGTTGGGCCAAGTTCCACATCCAGGAAGCTATGGTTATTAAGAAAACATTCCTATACAGAGAATCTCCACATAAAATTGGGTAAGGATCTTGCTAATGATTTTTCTGACAGGTAGATGGCATCTAATAAGCTGTAGTGCTGAATATATGTACTGAATCAACTTCCTTATAACACCGCCTGTGTCTTCTTCCAAAGCCCAGAACAGACTCATTATGCTTTGGATTGGGGAATGAGCTATGACAGGAGAGGCAAAGAGAGGAGAGGCAAAGAGGAACTATCTTAGATGCTCCCTCCTCTTTCCCTTGCCTAGCAAAGCAACATGTTGCTCAAGCTGCAGGGTGCTATGGACTGTGTGTTCATGTCCTACAAAAATTCATGTATTAAAATTTTAACCCCAAGGGGATGGTACTAGGGGCTGGAGCCTTCAGGCATTCCCATGATGGGGTCAGTGTCCTGATAACAACGGGAAGAGCCAGACGCTTCTCTCTCCACGATGAGAAGACACAATGAAAACACAGTGTCTGTCAGTCTAGAATCCAAAATGAACGCCCTCACAAGAATCTACCAAGGCTGGCACCCTGACCTTGGAATTCCAGCCTCCAGAATTGTGGGAAATCAATGTTAGCTGTTGACACCCACTGTCTGGGTATTCTGTATTGTGTTCACAAATTACAAAAAGAAAAAAATCAAGTGAGTACCAGCAACAATAACAGCAGTAACAGTAATGATACAGTAATCCTCCTTTTTCTGAGGAAGGTACTTTCCAAGATTCCCAGTGAAGTCCTGAAACCATGGAACAAACCCTATGTGTAGCTTGTTTTTTCCATAAATGTAGAAAAAATATATATACCTAAGATAAAGTTTAATTTATGAATTATATTCAATATGAGATTAACACAGTAACTAACAAGATGTAACAATTATAACATACTGTAGTAATAGTTATTTGATTATGGTCTTTCCCTATCAAACTCTCTTAGTGCATATATTTTCAGACCATGGCTGACTGCAGGTGACTAAAATCATGGAAACAAAACTTCAAATAAGGGCTAGACCACACTAATAGTAATGTTGCCAGGCTTTGGTATAGGAATTCCACATGTTTGTGTCATTTATCCTAAGGACAACATCATTAAGAGTAAAATTACTACCCATGTGATAGATAAGGGAACTTAGTCCAACTTCTAACCTATCCAAGTGTAAGATTAGGATTAGGAAAATGACTGAGATTGCAATGTTGCTTGGAGGTCATAGAATCAGTCGTGATTATGCATATAATTACAACACAAATGTAGCATATTCCATGTAGGGAGATAAGTTAGGGGTGACTGAGTCTCCTAGTGGGTAAGGAAAATAGCACAGGCAACAGACCAATTAGAAAAGTGAATCCAAGGGCACCCTGAATAGAGCAGCATTGTTGGCATGAAATTATCTATACTGGATGATAATCTCTCTTGTGTTGGTGAGGCTGTCTTGAGTAAAAATTAAATTAGTTGTAAGGATAGAAACAGTGAACTCAGATAAAACTGAAGGTGAAAAGACTACCTCAAGGCAGATTTATTAACTAAGAATACCTGGGATATTCTTTGATGTCCTTGTACAAAACAGTGCTAATGAATGGAGTAGCTGAAAATGGAATTTTAGTAACAGCAGGTCCGCAGAGAAAATTCCTTACAGAGGTACCCATCCTATAATGTGCCGCTAGTGTCAATACCCCAACATAATACTTCAGTTTCTGCCTATGGTGCGAGTATGGACAGGTCAAGCTACATAAACCCAGGCTGTTTATTCCATTCGGCTTTCCTCATTAGCAATATTATTGTACATTGGGGCCCATCTTTCTCCAGTCCTGGAAGCTAGGGAACACCCAGAGGGTTTAAAAGTGGGTAGCAAAACTATGGAAGATGTTTTTCCATGTTTATTGTGCTGAGGTTGATCGCCAGCCTGGGACTTCTACTACAATGTGGCTATGGCCTGTGAAGAATTTATGGACAAAATTATGCTAAAACAAAAATTCTTCCTTTAGGTAAAATTAAGAGGACTTAGTTGCTGGCAACTTTCAAGTCTCAGAAAAGTCATAAAACCAGAGAATCTGCTCTCACACTCTTGCCAAAATTCTCCAATCCTGTCTTGAAGAAACAACAAAATGCTGCTTTTGTTTTGAAAGTAGGAAAAAATACTCTAAGGATTATGCTAAGAATTATAGCATTAGAACCCTCTCTTGAAAACAAAAACAAACAACCGACTTTATTTGTCTTGGCAAACATGACAAGAGATTACAGCCCAAGAAGATATAGCAATAGCTTTAACTCTAACTTAATGGGCTTATTAATGAACATACTTGCATGTTTGTACATGAATACAAAACAGAAATGAAGTATCTGTTGACAGTATTGAAAAATGCCCCATTAAAAAATTATGTGGCACTACATCAGCTTGTTTCTTTGTTGTAAACCTCATCCAATATGTGGAATATGTGTTATGTTTGTATGATGGTAAAAATAGTCAGAGGAAGTATGCAGCATTACAAACTCTTAGGCCCTCTTCAGACTTCCAGAAGTGAAGACTGTTTCACTGGAAACTTGGTGAGTTCATGATAATATTCCCTGTGATGCTTTTCTTTTAGCAGAATTTTTACTAAAGACAGAACTTGTAAATGGATATCAAAGGCCATTAAAAGCTTATAATTAATTTAATTTGACAGTTAATTGATAGATAGCACTCACACTAGATTGATAGATAGCTAACAGTAGATTGATAGATAGCAGTAACACTAATACTCAGCTTGTTCATAATAAAGTGCTTTAAAAACACTTTGATGATAAGGGAAGAAAGAGAAGTGTAAACTCTGGATATTGTTCATTCTATCCACAGGGAAGAGCTAAGGGCAGAGCAGGAGCCTTTGCCTGCGAGAGCAAGGAACCTTCTCTAGCATCATCCTGGCACCTTTCCTTGAAGAACTGAGGCAGGGCACACGGTAGTCCAGAGGAGTCTTCAACCCTACAGCGTCTTCCTGGACTTCAGACCAAGGTTCTCAGGATAAGCTTCAGAAACCACAGAGCCATGATGCCCGAGTGTCCTCCTGTGCCTATTACACCAGATCCAACTATTTCATTGAACAGTACAATGGTCAAATGCAAAGTAAAAGCATATAGCGTGCAGAAAGCAGGTGTGGTGTGATTCTGGATGGTGGTGGTATTCAATAAGATTCCCAAACTACTAATTCTGACTGAAGCAGCTATGCCTCATTGGACAGACCTCCGCCTAACTGATAATCATTCACTGCCACAGAAATGTGCAAATTTCCTACTGAAAAATTCTGAAGAAAAGAGAATATTGTTGAAAATAATTGAGATGAAAAGGTGCCATATGGCTAGGCATCGTAGTATAAGACAAAGGCACCCCAAACCCAGGATTTTGTCTGAGAGTTGTAGCATATGAAACAGGAGACTATTATTTTTTTAATGTTAACTAAACATTTTTATCCATTAGGTGTTTCTAGTGGCCTTGCTTCCCACCAAATGAACCTGTGGTATTTACTGGCTGGGAAGAAAGAGTCCAGAACAAAGGTGGCAACTAAGAGCTTAACTCAATAGTAGACACAGTTGCTAAAAGCGAAGTGTTTCTGATTTGTAAGAGCTAGGCTGAGAGATAAATGAGTTTGCTCTGAATTCAAGTTTGCTGGACTTAAAGTGAGAGCCCAAGTTGGGAAGGCTGATCACTGAGAAGAGGAGACCAAGGCTAGAATGTCAGTGTTTCACCACACAGAAAGTCAATGAAAAACCAAGTCAGGGTTTCAGAGCTAAGTAGAGTTCATACCTGAAAAGACTGTGAGAGTTCCCCAGAAAAGTTGGTGGGAACACAGAGAGCAGTGTGTACCATGCTTCCTAGGTACAACCCACAGGAATGTTTCTACTTTTTTTTTTTTTTAAGATTTATGATATTTATGTATGTATAAAAGAGCTGGGTGTAGACCACAGGTATGGGGGTGAGAGGATTCACCAGAGACAGAATGGGGAGCAGAACAGGTAAATCTACTGAAATACACTGCTGAGGGGAACAGCAGGCAAGACAGGAAGGTCTACTATGCCATGTAGGTCAGCTCCCTGGCTGGGGATTGAACTCACGCTGCAGTGGTTGGCAATAGTTTCATAATGCTGAGACTTTAACCCCTAGTACTACCAGGGAGGCCAGGTACATGTTTCTTTATTGATGTTACATACTTTTAAGTACACAGGGTCACTGGGTCTTCAAAGACACTGCTGGATTTAACAAAAGGTTATAAACTGTGGGGAAGTGACTAGACAAAGAAAAGGGGGATTAGGCTCTGGAGGTAGTAAGTGTGGGAACTGATTAAGAACTGTAGGGTAGATGAAGGGTATTTAATAAGACCTGTGTAGCAGGCTCAGGCTATAAGAAATGAGGGTGGCTTTACAAAGGAAAATGATGCCCTGTTTTTAGGCAGGGGGCGCTATTTAGCTATTTACCTTCTCACTTATCTTCAGCTCGAAACAATTCTGAGGCTAAATGGCATGCTTTGGGTGGTCTGGCACACTTTGGAAGACACCATGTTTTACAGTTGACATTATTAAGTTATTTTGAAGTATTTAATCTCTCAAGTCTTTATTCCACCCACACAATGGTGGGAGTCCACTTTGGAGGATCATGGGCAAATAATCTATAGTTAATCTCTATCCACTGATCATGGATTAGTTCCAGTCTGCACAGCTGGATTGTTACTCTAAGTGTGGATTCCATTATACACAAACAACAACTACAGAATCTTGTATTGAATATTATGAACCATGAAGTAGACCTGCACAATAATTCCACAGCTTTCTGGTAGGGTTTGGCAGGTAGAGAAGGAACATTTTCTTGACTTGAAGAGATTGCATATATTTCTAATCAAGACCTGTCCATGATAAATAGTGCTGGACAGATACCCAGCACTAACCCTGGTGGCACAATGGGTTAAAACTTAGCACTGCATGTTAGCCACAGTCACGTCAGTGTGAGTTCTATCCCTAGCACCAGAGGTGAGCAGACCTCTCCTGTCTTGCCCACTGCTCCCCTCAGCAGTATACTTCGTCAGTCTGCATGTTCTGCTCTCCACTCTATCTCTGATGAATCCTCTCTCATTGCCCCTGCACCTCTAGCCTGCACCCCAGTTCTGTATGCATAAATAAATCTTAAAAAAAAAAAACCTTGAAATAGTTTTCCATAATGGTTGTACTAGTTTACATTCCCACCAGCAGTGCAGAAGAGTTCCTTTTTCTCCACATCGTCGCCAACATTTGTTGTTACTAGTTGTTTGAAGATGTGCCATTCTCACTGGGGTGAGGTGGTATCTCATTGTGGTTTTAATTTGCATCTCCCTTATTACAAGTGATGTTGAACATTTTTTCATATGCTTGTTGGCCATCTGCATATCCTCTTTGGAGAATTGTCTTTTTAGCTCTTCTGCCCATTTTTTGATGGGGTTGTTTATTTTTGTTGAGTTTTGAGCTTCCCTATGACCCAGCAATCCCACTCCTAGGTATCTACCCAAAAGACACAAAAACACTGATTCAAAAAGATACCTGCACCCCCATGTTTATTGCTGCTTTATTTACAATTGGAAAAACAAGGAAGCAGCCCAAATGCCCAAAAGTAGATGACTGGATTAAAAAGATGTGGTACATATATACAGTGGAATATTACTCAGCAACCAAAAAGAGAAACACATGTCTTTTGCAGCAACTTGGATGGAACTGGAAAAGATCATGCTTAGTGAGATAAGCCAGAAAAAGAAAGAAAAATACCGGATGGTTTCACTCATAGGACCAGGTGAGAAAATAACAAGAATAATGAACAACCATATACCAGAGACATTTTGTGGGGGTGGAGTGGGCAATGGGATAAAAAACAGGGGGGTCGGGAGGGAAATGCACGGGTTTATGGTGATGGCACACAGGTGACTTGATGATGGGAAACCCGCGGTGATTACAATTGAGATGGAAAAAAAAATGTACAAAATGATGTAAAAATAAACTATTATAATAATAATAAAAAGAACTCGCTTACCAAAAAAAGTGACATTTCTAGAAAATAGTGGATATAACACAGTAATGGGACATGGTTTGGCAAATCTTGAAGGTGACAACACAGTAACTGAGGAGCAACAGAATGCTGTTAGGAATGCATTTTCATGGGTGGAATTTTAGTCTTCTGGTAGCAAAACTGAAAATACTAGCTACAAGGGGGCACCTTCCTTGCAAATCACATTTGGCAAGGAACTCTTAGTCCACCCAAAGTAAGACGACGCTTGTCCAAGCCACCTCCTATTCTGCTCTACAACCATTAGGAGTTAGGAACACAGAAGAGATAGAGAAAAATCAAAAATATTTACAAAAGAAGAAAAGGAGTCAATAAGTATCTGGAAAGTACACAGATGAAAAAATGGAATTTTCCATGAAAGGCTAGAAAGAAGAATTTAAATCTAAGCAGAGAAAATGAATGTTGGCCCCAATGAGAGTGTCCTCAGCAGGGGTCACTGGGCCATCTGGAGGTGCACGCCTCCCCACTCTGAAATAGGGTGGAAGAAAATAAAGATGAGCTTAAAGTGGAAGGAACTCTGGTCCCAGAGGCATGGCATAGCTGGGTCTTCTCACCAGATGTTCCTAGTCTGCATTTCCCTGGCTAATAGAGAATTCCTGCCCCAAAACCTCAACATCTCAAACTTGCTAAAAGGTCTCAAAGTATAAAATGATAGATGGTCTTTATGTAAAGTGACCAGCAAGAGCATATAATTCTTACATTTCACCTAAACACCTATGGGGAAACAGACATGAGTGGGAAGGCAAGATTTTAGTGCTGACAGAGTAAGAATCCAAGAGTCAACAAACAATCCCAAATAAAAAGACCATGGAATTAAAGCATATCCTCAACTTTAAATCAGGCAGCCAGGCTAGTTTTTAAACACAAGGAACTCATCAGTGATATTGAGGACACACATAGGCAGAAGTCCCACCAGTTATGGATAACAGTTTAACAGATCCTACTCAAGTCAAATACATGTACATAAGTAAAGGTGTGAGCAGTTAGTAGTGAACCCAGGAAATAACTGTCTGAAATAAATTTCTGACTTAAAACAAAACCAATGAAAACTATGAAAAGATGGTACAAGAGAGGCAGGCAAATGCAGATGAACTCTCACCCCCAGGCTTTTTAGTCCTTGTTCCAGTTCATCCCCAACGTCATGATGCAATTTTTGCCACTAACCCCCTCATGCAGGTGAGAAAACAGAAGGAACTTGCTCCAGCAACTGAGTGGCAGAGATGGGGCACAAGCCCAGGCACTATGGCCACCCTACACCTGAGCACTCACCCTCACCTGGCACTTGGCAAAGCTGAGGCACAGACTCCAGCTACAGTTTGATGAATGCTGCCAACCTGTGAGGGTTTCCTGAGACCGAACAGAGCAGGGACTGTGTGTTTCCTCACTTAGCCCACACTCAACCTTATGGGAGAGGAACAGTTATCTCAGTTTACAGATCACACAGAGGGGTCAGAGACACTAGAAATGCAGCTTCCTGAGCCCTCAGAGCACCATGCTCACCCTGAAGGAGACCTTTGCTGTTATCACCCCTTCAGGAAACTTTAGTAAGACAGAGACGGAATCTGTTCATGTGCTGTATCTATCTGTGCGTATTCATGGAAATAGTAAGACTTTTTCTCTACACCAGTTTTTGTTTCCACTGAAAAAGTGGGGTCTACAGCTTAACAGATCCTTATTCAATCAGTCTACTCTAAGCAAAGGAAGTGGTTTATTCACTAGTTTCTCTTTTATTCAATCCATCAGTATTTATAAAGTGAAAGGAAACATAGACGAGGTATAGTTCTATGTGATTTCATTTATATGAGGTTTGATAACAGATCAAACTACTGTATGGGTATAAAAATGTACTTAGTGGTTGCTTCTGGAAGAGAACTGGCTGGGAGAAACTTCCTGGCATGAAGGAACTTTTTATTTATCTTTATCTGGGTGATGGTGACATGTTTGCACACCTCTGTCCAAGTTATCAACTGTATATTTAAGAAATCTGTATTTACAGCATGCAAATCTTATTCCAATGTATTTTTAAACAATTGTCTAGTTTGTGCCAATGTGGGTACCGAAATTGGTCCCTGAATACATATTCTAACTTGCAGCTGGATGCTAAGTCTCTACCAAATGCTCTGTGTCGACAAGCTAGACCTAGGAAACAGCTTCATCTGACTTTACTGTTGTCTGTCCTGGAACCCCAGGCTTAACTCTGATGACCCAATGTCACAATGGAGTAGAAAGTCTAGTAAATATCTTAAAAGGTCCAAAGGGATCTAAGACCTTCTCAGCTAAAGATGGGCTATAGAATCAACTCTTCTGAAGTTCCTACAATGGCTGCTGGGAAGAGGTAACAAAAGCCCACAAAGTCACCACAGGGGCTGAGCAAGGGCAGCCTTCCCCAGACTGAGGACTTTACCCCTCTGGGTAGCGGCCCACAAGCTGCCTTGTGATACTGCTTGTACTTGGCACTGAACGATTATTTACAGCAACACTGACTTTGCTTTCCACAAGTTTATGTCATTTTTCCAACTAGATCAGAACTGGCTGACTGGTGGAATTGTCTTTACAACAGCTTACTGCCTTCAGTGGCCATGCATGGCATCTTACATACAGATTCCTAAAGCAGCATCTATAAAAACCAATTTTCTGAGTCAGATACTGGACAGGATCTCAGAAAAGGATTATAAGAATTATATGTCACGTCTGCATGTAAGAGATAGCTACCCAAGAGATAAAATCAAGATGCCAATCTACAGGAATTACTAAGACATTAAAAGATTTAGAGATACAAAACAGGAAAACTGTTGCAATCTGGTCCTTTTGGAAAATTCAGGACATCTGGTCAATGCAACAATGAAGCAGCCTTAAAAGCCTTTTCCATCTTTAATAGTTTCTGAAGAAAATATGTATGTGATCAATTATATAAAGGTGTCTTAAAGGAACCAGTTATTAATCTCTTAGGATTAATAAAAAGAAAGAACTAATCGAACTGAGCATGCATTTACTGATTTGCTTGAATCATGTTTTCTATTTAGTATAAACATTCTTATTCAATCCTCACAAAAATCTACCAGAAAGTGCTATCATTATGCCAGTTTTACAGGCATTTAAAGGGCTGATTACTTGCCCAATTTAGGATGATAGAATTAGAAGGCTGTCCTGCTCTCCCTGGGTGACAGTCGCCTTCAGTAACCTGCAGACAGTGCCACTGCCCCTCACAGACGGAAACTGGGAGAGAGGAGCGCAGCTGGCACACTCCAGTTTGCTGCTTAAGGGTGAATAGTGAGGGATCTGTGAAAGGTTTAGACAGTATAATAATTAGGTAACTAAGAGAAAAATAGGCCACTTGGGCATATACTCAGCTGGCATTTCCTAGGACAGTTCCACTAAAATAGACCTGTGTGCCAGAACGGAGTCCAGGTCAGGGCAGCCAGCAAAGGGCAATTTTCAGGTTGAATGATTGCGTTTTCCACATACACCACGTTCATCCCGTACTTCCCCTCTGGATCTTACCTGCACTGTCTGTACTGTGTAAATTTTCTTCAGATTGGATGCACACTCGGCTGCAGTGGCACCAGGGAGGGATCTAAGCAAACACAGGAAAAGAGCAAAGGAACAAACCAAAGAAATAGTCAGTTTTCATGAACCAACCCAAAATCAAAGCCTATAGGTTTTCATATAAATCAAGTAAAAAAACCTTAGAATTTTGATGTGAAGATGTGTTTGCTTCTCCCAAAACTGCCTATGTATTCTGTCCCTAATTAATAGAAAAAAGGAAAATATAAGGAAGGAAGGTATTGGAAAACTTAAATCACACTACAAAATACAAAATAACCTTGTAACAACCTAGCATTTACCCAGGAGTTTGGACAAGAAACTGCTTATTGTAAAGATTACAATAAAAATGCTACACAGGGACCTGAATATAAGTATGAAAAACTTGTCAGTTCCATGGGAGTAAGTGTTCACGAACTTTTGAGAAACAGAGTGATCTTTTGCCAATTTTAAGAAAACATGATTACTAAGAGTCGATTTCTGTTCACCTGAATTTGCATGTGTTTCCAAAACACTCTCCTTTAGAAAATACTTTCCGTATTTAAATGGCTCTAGAGAAGTTTGTGGTCAGAATACATTAATCTTTAGTTTGCCATATGTTCCACTAGATGGCAATATACCACAGCTTTAGTCAGAAAAAAACAAAACAAAACAAAACAAAACAAAAAACACCCACTAATACTGGCTTCACCCAGCCCCATTTCCAGGATTAGGGGTAACATGACAAGGTCTCATCAACCTTTACCAGTGAACTCTCAAATTCCCACTACGTTTTCTTTCTTCCTATGCTGAACTAGTAGTTATCATTCAACAGTATTGGGACCCAATGGCATCAGACTTAAGACAGCAATTCTTAAAATCATGCTTGGGGGCCCACCCTGGTGGCGCAGCCGGTTAAAGCACAGCACTAAAAAGCTTAAGTTATTTCCGCATGAGTTCGATCCCTGCCTGCCCCAGAGGAGATCCACATGGTGCGGCAGACACCTTCTGAGCAGCCCGCTGTTCCCCTCAGCAGTGTACTTCATTGATCTGCCTGTTCTGCTCCCCACTCTGTCTCTGGTGAATCCTCTCACCCTGCACATCTCTGGCCTGTACCCCAGTTGTGTATGAATAAATAAATCTTTTAAAAAAATAATCATGCTTGAGAGCCCTCTGTCTGGTAATTAGGTGACAAGGAAGAGGCTTGCAGAAGCAGCCAGAACATATGGGCTCACAACTGACCTAGTAGGATACGGATCTATAAAAGGAACGCCCTTTCTGAGTCACTCAACCCCAGCCCCAGTCCCCTGAGAAACTGAGTAAGACATTCAACTTTCTGAATGGTTTTTGAACCACTGCACACTACAGATGTGCATAAAACTCACAGGGCTTGGAGGTGAGAGGATGTCAAAACAAAGGGCCATGCCCAGGAGGAGGAGGGCAGGCATCCCTGAAGCTACATATTTGACTATGGACCAATGAGAGCTCCCTGTTAGGTCTGAAAAAATGCATTTCTGAATCTAGTTCCCTTGCCTGGAGGTCACTAAGGAAGCGTCACCATGGACTAGTTGGGGGACAAATCAAGAGGTCCCGTTGAGTAGGTCTACCCTAAAGCATGGGGTTTTATGACTCTTTTCTAACTGCTGACACTGTTTTCAGCATAGCACTACTTTAATAAATATAACATGTAGCCTAGTTTTTCTAGTAGGACTCTATCAAATTCTTAACATTACATGACAATGACAAGAGATTTTTAAATGTTCTCCCTTCCGAACAAGTCAGTCTGGATTGGACTTGCCAGTTAGATTTGAACCAGAAGCTGCACTGTCTACTGTTAGTTACTGCTCCTTACAGTATCAGAGCAGTCTGTGCTCAGCAAAGCTGCAGCCCTGCCAGCAGCCAGCCTACCCCTCACCTCCCTGTTACTTTAAAAGACAGTTACAGCAACTGGGAGGTAAACATTTGTATTGAATTTCAGTGAAAAGAAAATTTTTACTGGTACCTCAGAAACAGTATATTCTCATAGCTTTAAAAAAAGTCTTTTTACTTCATTCATGTTACAAATCATAATGTCCCAATAGAATACTAACCAAAATCCTCCTTTGTAGAACAGGATGCTCATCTGGAGTAATAATGCCCCAAGAGACATTTGGGAATAACTGGAGACCTCTTGGGTTATCGCAGCTGAAGGGGATCTATGACTTCTAGTGAGTAGAAGCCAGAGCTGCCACGGTGCACAAGACAGCCTCAGAATAGAGAACTGTCTTAGTTTGTAATACTGGAAACCTTGGTGTAAACATGTAACAGTCTCTAAAGACTGTCTCACAGAGCTATGTTCTAGAACTGTCATCCCTGCTCACTGAATTGCGAGATTCCTGAAGGCAAAGAAACAATGTCTAGAGACATTTTCATTTGCCTGGGAAGGAAGAGTTGGGAAAGACAGCTGAAAGACTATGGTTATTCCTAGTTGAGTTCTAGCCAGAGCTGTGGAGAATCACAAAACCAAAGAATCAGGTCTGATTTTCCGTCTTTGAGCTTGAGGCCACCTCCTACAGTGTACACAGCTGGAGCTGAAACAATCAGTGCCTAGACAGTTCTAAGGAGTTTGAGTTGTTTCACTAGGATTTCCCCTCTGAGATAAAGAATTCAAGGTAATAGTGGCTTTCTTTTCATGGACATGTTTTATATGAGAGGGTTTTGTACATGTTATTTCTAACCCCTACAGCAATTGTGCCAAGTTGATGTCACCCCCATTTTACAGATGGAGAAACTGAGGCTTAGTGAGTCTGTTTTAAAGTTGCAGAACCAGGTTCTCTCCCAGGTTCCTGGTGCTCTTTTGGGGTTCGCTAGCCCTGTCTGGATCTGATGGCCATTTTCTTCCTCTTGGATGAGGCTGACTCTTAGCGGAAACCAAGTAGCCACTGCTAGCATGGGTAGCCACATATAGCCTAACTAAAGCAACTCTCCTGCTAGCCCTCTGAGACTCCCTTCTTGGGTCCACTCACTGGTCTGGCCTATTATTCTCCCCTCATCACTGCCCATCTAGACACAGGGCTGAGGAGGGGTGGAAGCAAAGATGTACTAAAAGGTTACAGGCCATCAGAAATGCTGAAGTAATGCCCCCCCCACCCAAATTTAATATATGACATGATTCAAGAATAATACATCGCCAGGCCATCATTTTCAAGGGCTGAACAAATCAGGAAGCTACTTTACAAAAAAAAATGCCACAGATGAGCTGCAGCAGGAAAGCAGGGGCATCAAGAAGATGGTCTACGGCCCCAATAGACGTGAGTTCAAATTTCAGTTTGTCACCTAGCAGCCTGTAACAAGCCTAACCCTTTCTGACTCCCACTTCTCTCTTTGAGAATATGACCTTGACCCCATTACTTTGCTACTCAGACTACATGAGCTAATGCTACAGGCAGCATTTACATAGTACCTGATAACTAACCAATAGTTATCATTGCTAATGTCATCATCATCATGACCATCATCACAGGCAAAACAGGAACATCTGAGAAAGCAATCAAAACTCAGTGACACAAAGCACATTTTCTAATCTGTAGGACATAAAGTAAGAGTCCCAAGGAGTCTGTGCATAATGCAGAGAGCTAAGATAGCAAGCCCACCAGACACCAGTCTCTCGGAAGTCAGGTCACAGCTAGAGTGCGGCTGCTCCCTCTTGGAGTTGGCTAATCCCAAAGCTATGATGGCTACAGCAGGAGAAGAAAAGGATCGCTGAGTTCTGTCAAGAAAGTGATTAGTATAAAGATCTCACGGGAGCTCTTTATGTTACTTTAAGGACAAAACTCCAAATTCCAGCTTTATATTACTACTGTCTAGCTTCAACTTAGTAACAATAGGAAATGCATCTTAAGATTCTCTACATAAAAATTTGTGAGAAAGTCCAGTATGGCTAATTCTATTTAAGTGGTTTCCAGATACCAGAACAACATTTACAACATTTAATGTGCTATTCACAATACACCTTCATCTATTCATCAAAGCAAGTCTCTGAGAATCTCCACAAAACAAAAGTAGTTAAGCTCAACTGAAGTCCAAAATGTCTCAAAGCATTTCATCCTCCCTTATTTAAGAAATACTTACTGAGCACCCAAAGTTGAAAGACTACCTATCAGGGGCTATATGCACAATTATCTTATTTCATCTCCATCAAAACACCATAAGGTAAACTTAAAGTCTAGAAAGTGAGGTGACTTGCCCAAAAATACAATTGGTAGGGCTAGGGCTTGAACCAGGGTTGATTGAATCTTGTAGTCACTAGCCCAAACTGATAATACATGAATGCCTCATACTCTGCTTGGTACCGCAAACACAATTCTCCAAACACAATCCTCAATTCACTCTTTCCAGCAGTACAAAGGTGCCTTCTCATTAAACTTCACATTTAAAGAGCTGTTTGATACAAGCTGAGCTCATGAACAAAGTTCCTATGAACAAAGAGGCTTTTGAAAAGACCTATGGAAATTATCTTAACCAATACTGACTCTTTCTTAGTGGTCAGAGAACCACTTAATAGCCTCTGTATCCCTGGAAATGCTTCTTACTAAGAAAAAAAAGCTTAAAGAGCTTCCTCAAATCCTCCCTGCACTCTTGCTGCTCATGCAGTGGTCCAACACTAGGCAGCACCACTTGGAAGGTTATTAGAGATGCAGGGTCTCTGACCCAACACCTGCTGAATCCTGAGACCCATCTGTAAAATGTTTGAGATGTAATGGTTTACATTATCTAAATCAAATCACTATAAGAAATGCTAATAACTCGAGAAGTAAAAGCTAATGAACTATGAAGATAGCATCACAAGGAAATCATAGAAATCACCAGTCTTGTGGGTACATTCTCTCCATCATCCAAAAAAAAATGATTATGACAGGATTATCGTTAAATATGAAGTACATCCTATACAGACATGTAAGTATAAACTTGGAGGCAGGACTCCTTCCCTATTTTGAAGGAGGGAGTCCTTGCTTAATTATCTCCCATGAAACTGACTCCTGGTTTCCTTATTTGTGGAATTAAGTGCTAAGA